GGTTGCTCGCCGGCTCTTTTACGAGGGCAGAGACAGGCCTACCCTCGGTGCCATTGCATCTCAACGGTTTACCAACCGGTTTCGTCTGAACACGGCATCCCATGACCAGATGTTGGGAACCTCCTGGATTGAGACGTTTGGCTACTGGGGATGATGGGGTTAACATCTGGCCTGCAACCATAGATCAAGACCTAACGCCTTCAGCTGCTGTACCGCCTGCGGTTCAGAAGCTAATGCAGAAAATCTTGGTCAATAATACGCATGATCGGCAAGGATATATGCTTCATCACCTAACTCTACTTGATGCCATCTTTACACACCTTGTATATTCAAGCTGGTCGTTCCTGATCCCAAGAAGATCATGAAGTCTTTAATACTACTATGTTTGACAACCCGGAAACAGATAACTCCCCCTCATTCTATGAATAGATATTGGAAAGACCTGGCCCGGGCTTTAATTCTCCGATGGCACCCCCTCTCCCAGTCTGCTAGGCCAGTTGCGAAGCATACGAGTCATGTGGTCTTGGAATCTACTCACCGGTAACCACCCCCAACTAACTTACCCCCGGGTGCAGGCAGAAATAACAATCCCTACTCTAGAGTATAGCAGGCGTCATAGCTGAGCGATATATTAGCCTTCTAGCCTCGGCAGACCACACTCCAGCCTCGGAACAAAACGGGACCGCCGAGGAACGTGAAAATTCTGGACCGGAGAGTCTCGGGATCCGACCGTGGCAGAAGAATAATGACTCAATTGAGATACTTGCCTTTAAAAGTTTATAAGTCAGAATAGAACAAGGTACAGACGCAATCGACTTGGAAGTTGCACGTGCGCAATTGCCCCCGCGGGGTTATAGCTCATCCGGTATGCACTGAACCCGATCTGGTGCAAGATTGTAATTCAGCCAATCAGAGTCAGTGGACGCGCTTAAATTACCTGTTGGCTCCGGTAATGCTGTGAAAGATAATACTGGTCACAATGAACTGCCGCCAGCACTGCCTGAACGTGAGCATGTGAGAATGTACGTACATACATCGGCCTTTGGTTCAATGTTCCTTATATATGAAGCAGTTAAAGAACAATACATATATATATTAGTAAATGTTTAAAAGACACGCCCAACATGGGATTACGTTGGGTAGCAAAGAAAAAACCTTACAAAAAGGAAAAGCTTTCAAATTAATTAGGTAAAATCGTGGCTGTTTTACGAAGTATAGCCAGCTCTGCGCCTTTTACGAAACACAGCGCTAAAATTCTAAAATAAATCATTTTAAAAAAAATCAATAAACCCATTTAAAAAAATAATCTGTTCTGATTTTATTTAAGTCCTTTACAATTGGGCTGTGTCGTGTTGAGAGTGCTTAGATACCAGTCACGGGAACGCTGAGTTCTGAAAGTTCACTTGTTCTATAATCTCCCCACGAATATTATTTGCCTCGACTCTTTCTTCCTTTCCCCAGCTCTCGACCTGGCATTGTCACGCCTCTCGCATCTGGAGAGAAATTCGCATCTTCCCCGCAACCGAACCAAGTCGTCAACCTCTCCGCTCCAAATTCAGCCCCGAATCGTTGCGGGATTTTCTGCTGTCAGCTTTGCGCCAATTTCTCCCCTTCTACAAACCACATTGAAACCCTTCAATGTGTCAGATCATTGTACATCCGCCGCATCTCCAGTCGATTGTCCCCCGTTACACCCGTGACTCGACTCCCCGTGACTCGACTCCCCGTGATTCCGCTTCCGATTCCCCGCCAACTGTAGTCGCAAACGCGCGATTATAGGAACCAAGGACCGGAGACCCCTCCAATATTCGAGAAGTGATCTGGGTGGATATTCAGCCTCAACACAGACGATTAACAATCTGCGATCGTTTCTCTTTTCTCTTTCACAAGCTCGACTGAAGCTCGTCCACGTGAATCCGCTCGCCCGCCGAGATCGAAGCGCGGATGATATCATTTGGTATTGTCGCCACCACGCTTTGTTTTTTTTAGATCAACACAAGAAGGCACTTAAAGTAGCCTACGGGGTTCGAAGCATCGATTTACCTCACTTTTGTGGACGTGTCCATAGCTCACCGTTATCGGGATACATGCCGAAATGAATATGGAGACCAAGAACGGCTCCCCGGTTCCTGCAGAGGACTTCAGTGGGGATCGTGACTCCGCCGATATCACCGAACACGAACAAATGGACGTAAAGCCCAAAACTAATGGCGATAGCAAAGCGGATCGCAAAGCAGCCAATGCCAAGGATCCCTCCCGACCGCGACGGAAGAAGGCCCGGCGAGCTTGCTTTGCCTGCCAACGAGCTCATTTGACATGCGGTATGATGATAGACTGATCTCCGCACTTATTAAATATCTGACTAATATATATCGAGTTTAGGCGACGAACGACCGTGTCAACGTTGCATCAAGCGTGGTCTTCAAGATGCTTGTCATGATGGTGTTCGCAAAAAGGCCAAGTATCTCCATGATGCTCCCGATGGGGCGTTGATGCCAGCTGTTAGTAGCAGCAACAACACCAGTCTATACAACACCACACTCCGGAATAATATGCCTATGTCTAGAAATGGCGCAAATGCTCTCAGCTCCAACCAGCAACACAGCCAACAACATAGTCAGCAGCACAGCCATCAACATAATCAACAACCAACCGATACCCCGAATAACAACTTTTACCCTACGCCCCAGACGCAGGCAGGGTCTTACAATCCGTACCAAGAATCCTCCATGAGCCAAAGCCCTTTTACCGCGCAATCACCCGTTTCACCTACTTTCAACATGAAGACCAGCACCAATGGTCGAAATTCGAGTCTTTCATCGACTGTAAACCAGCAGCCTACCCCAAGTACTGCTCTCTCTGGAGATACAAGTCAGTCTCAGAATCCTTTTGCAGGACCATTTTTTGATCCCAGTGATCCAGCTCTCTTCAACTTTGATCTTTCGAGCATGAACTTCGAAAATCGATACGGTGCTCTGGAATTCGGCATGCTTGGCCATATGGCCACTGGAGCGGCCGGAGACTCTCCCACTGATTCCGCAGGACAGCGAGGGTCGATCGGCCGAAGTGGATCGGCCCAATTCTCTACACCAGCTCCTGGATTTGGAGAAAGCCCGGGGAATCAACCTTTCATGTTTGGTGATCCTCTCCTAAATGATTGGTCAACCGGACAGGCCTCAGGCCAGCATGTGAATGTCGGAGGAGTGTATGGGCAAAATGGTATGCTCCCCGAACACATGAAAGCAAATGCACCACATGCATTTGCGATCGAAACTGCGCCAGCAAGTTTCACTAGTCCTGGATCGGCCACAAGTCCGAACATCACAACGGCTACGTTCGATGACGGCCCATTCAACAATATCGCTCCTGCTCCCAAGCCCAAGTCCAACAGCCTGGTGCCGAATGGACAACGCCAGGTAACGTCAGCGTCGATCTTGAAGCACCCAAATTTGCAGGTTGGCCCTAAACGGCGCCACCGCAATCCTTCCTCGATATACGAGAGCGTGAAGGAGCCCTATGCTTACACAAGTGGGTTCCATAATCTTACTGCTTTCATTCAACGTCGCTTCACACCGCAAAAGACCGTGCGAATTGCCAAGGCGCTTGCATCTATTCGACCCTCTTTTATCGCAACTACTAAGACCCTTAATCGTGATGATCTCATATTCATGGAAAAATGCTTCCAGCGAACACTCTGGGAGTACGAGGACTTCATAAATGCATGTGGAACGCCAACCATCGTTTGCCGACGCACTGGCGAGATCGCCGCCGTAGGCAAGGAGTTCAGCATCCTGACTGGATGGAAGAAAGACGTGCTTCTAGGAAAGGAGGCAAACCTTAACGTCAACACCGGTGCTTCGAGCGTACCCCAGTCCGGGACAACGTCACGCGGTAGCTTCACACCGCGCGGCTCAACATTAGAGAATTCCGGCAGTGGACGCCCCCAGCCGGTATTCTTGGCAGAACTTCTGGACGATGACAGCGTCGTAGAGTTTTACGAGGACTTTGCGCGTCTGGCATTCGGCGATTCTCGTGGTAGTGTCATGACCCGGTGCAAGCTGCTTAAATACAAGACCAAGGAGGATATGGAGGTTGCGCAATCCGATGATAGTGGGAAGTGGAACAACCACCTCCGCAAGGGTGGCATTGCTGGCGAGGCTGGCATGAACCAACTTGGTTTCAAGGACGGAAAGGTTGATTGCGCGTACTGCTGGACAGTGAAACGCGATGTGTTCGATATCCCGATGCTCATTGTGATGAATGTAAGTCTCTAAGATCATGCAACCCTTCAAAGTTGATCTCATGCTAATCCGCCCATCCTCTAGTTCTTGCCATGCATTTGATCTTTTTTTATTATTTAGTTTCGTGCATTTGTTTCAGGTTGCCTTTTCATACCCTCGGCAAGGCCACACACCAGGCCTGTCTTTTCTTCTGCTGTTCTACCCTAGTACATATTTCCTGGTTCTGGAATCGTATGATTCTCTTTGATCTTGATTTCCTTCGGATCACTGGCCGGCGGGGTTTTTTTTCTTGTTCTACTTCTCGTATATACGTTATGTTTCTTGGATTCCTGGAACCAATTTCAGGATTGTCGATATGCTTTGTATTTTTTTTGCGGCGTTCAAAACGGACAAAAATGTTATCTCTCGGACGATTCACTGTATAAGCACAATGGCATGATATTGAGTGGGGTCACTTCTGACCTTGCGCCCTGAACCATCTGATTTTAAACGAAGAAATAAGCTTAATCCAACCTCAGATCTGATGATTGAGGATCGATGCCTGATACATCGGGCGCCGAATTATATCCATAAGGCGTCCTTATCGTGATAACCCCCACCAGGGCTGACCCGAGGTCGTATCCAGACACACTCAACAGCATCACGCCAACCCATTGCTAAATCACACAATCAGTACATACCAAACGAAACGACAATATTAGCAGATCTGTCTGTGTCATTATCCGCCCTTTACCGTACCCTCAACCGACAGAATCCGCCATGGGCTCCAACAAGACGCGCGACTCGGTAGCCGGCCCCGACGCAGGCCCGGAACCTCCTTATCCCGTGCGATTGTCAGGGCCAGTGATTAAAGGATTTGGCCGTGGTAGCAAAGATGTATGTCCATAAATCTGGGAACAGAACCTCGCTGCTATCGCACAGCGCAGCGGGCAACACAGACCTACCACTGACTCGTTCTCCCGGGATGGCTACAGCTCGGAATCCCCACCGCCAATATCCCCGCCGATGACCTGTCCGAAAAACACCCAGAGCTGACAACCGGTGTCTACTACGGCGTTGTAGCTCTCGACCCGAAAACATACCAACATGACTCATCCGAAGGCAGCACATCTACTGCGGTGGTTTTGCCTGCTGTGTTGAGTATCGGATATAACCCTTTCTATAAGAACACTGTACGATCTGTGGTATGTGATATAAACCAGACGAAATGCCGTCAAATGTTGAAACCAGCATTTTGGTGGGGGCATGTGACTGACGTGGTTGCTCACTCCAGGAAATCCACATCATGCCACCTCTTACGGAACCATCGCCCACTGCTGCGGGACAGGAGGGTCAGACTAAGTTCAACCGCTTGCCGGATTTCTATAAAACGCGACTCAACCTGCTCATTCTGGGTTATATCCGGCCTGAATTTGATTATGTCTCGCTAGAGGCCTTGGTGGAGGATATTCGGGTAGACTGTGAGGTTGCGCGGGCTAGTCTGTTACGCGAGGCCTACAAATGCTATCTTGTTGACAGTGGTAAAGCACCTGGAAAAGTCAGCGAGGATCGTGGGTGGTTGGTGAACTTTGAATGAGTGGGGTTAGATATTTCATGGCATTCGGGGTGAGATGACTATCCTGCATTGCGACTATTTTATAGCGCAGATCATTTCTCTGTATAGACATAGAAGAGGGGTATATTTGTTGACTCGTATCAGATTCTATAGATGCGTTGCATGAAGATTTATGTACAGCCCTATGCGCAGCCCTATCTAATCGCGGAATGCAACATGCCGAGACGACGTCACTCCAGTCTCTAAATGCGGACTTGTCATTCGACACAAAGGACCAAGAAACCAAGCATTGGCATCCGCTCGGCATCCATTTTCACGTCTTGACATATGTAATACCAAGAGCAGCAACCCGAGCGTTCCGAATCTGAAGCAAATCTTCATATACATATAAACAGGGCCACATGCCCTTTTAACGTTCCAATTTACAGTTTATCCAATCATCCAAATTACATTTAGATCATGGTCAATGTATTCCAGCGCCTCACTCGACGCCGAGCATCAAGCTCCAGCAGTAAATTACCATATCAGGACGGAGATACTACGGGCCCCAATTCCGCAGCATCCCATCCACATGGTTTACACCGGGCAGTGAGCACGAGCTCCGGCAAACGCTGGAGATATGAAGAACCGGCTCCCCGACACCTCATCCTAGTCTCCGACACTGTGGAGTTTGATACCCATCTAGTTCACCGCTTCCAGGCAGAAGGATTTGACGTGATCTATATCCCCTTCCTCGGCAGCGGGGATGAAGACAAAGACCGAAAAGCGCTGGAGAATGCGATACACGCGCAAGAGGACGAACTTGAGAATGGAGAGCGGTATGCGATAGTCGGTACGTCTAACATTCGACTTTCTTTGTCGCTATATACATGCTTCGCTTTTCGAAGCAGGTATCTTAGCCTTAGAAGACGAACAAAAGCCCAGCTAACCATACATCCAAGCATATCGCCGACCCGCCTACCTCCTCCTAGCCTCACACCACACAATACACAGCAACACAAACCCATTCCCACACCTATGTGCCTTGATAGCCTACTACCCCCTCTCCTCAACAGACGAATTCACCTACAGACAAAGGGAAGACTGCTCGCCACCAGGCTGCTCAGACACAAGTTCAATCTTTGGCCCAGTCTCCAAATCAACATATCTGCCAATCCAAGTCCACGTTCCAGGCCCACGAGTCCAGCCCTGCGCGCTGTGGCCATGGATAAGCCTCAGTGCCTCAGAAGGTGACGTCACCTACAAGAAAAAACACCGGTGCTATGTGTACTCGTACCCGGGGTCCAGAGCTGGGTTCGCGGAGCGGGAAATTGCAGAGGAGAAAGAAGGCGAGGTGGATGCGGACTTGAACCAGGATGACGAGATCGGCTCGCAGCTGGCGTGGAGTCGGGCGCTAGCGTGTCTGCGGCGCTCGTTCAATGTCGGGAGTCACTGGCCTGTTATTGATATTGAGACTGTTTGGGAAGAGTACTGGGATAATGTGATTGGCGAGCTGGAGACGCGGAAACAGACCGACAGTTATGGTTCTGAGTCGACGGTTGGGATGTTGACTGGCCATAGCCATTATGGCGAGGTGGGGTGTCCCGCTGGGGAGGTGTTTGTGAAGTGTATTCCTACCCAGGCCGGAGGTGAGCTTTCTTCTACTTCTATTTTCTACGATCTGGTTTGGATTTACTGATATGTTTATTGCAGGTTCTGATATCTCAAGTCTGAAAGATTTCTTCACTCATGTGTATATTCCTGCTGGGCCAGTTGATCAGCAGGTCCGCCTCTTGTCCCGCACTGTGGGTGCGGATCGCATCGTGGATGAGATGTCGTTTTCTTGTCGACATACTGCTGAGGTTCCATGGCTGTTACCTGGTGTTCCACCGACGGATCGAGATATCAGAGTTATCGTCGTTGTGGTGGCAAGCTTCACTGCCGGTCAGATTACACGCCAGAGTCTCTATTGGGACCAGGCCGGTGTGCTTGTGCAGGCTGGATTATTGGATCCGGGACTTGTGTCGTCGTCAAAGGCCGTCGAAAGCCATTGAGTGTTGGGCGGTGTCTTCGTCTTATGTTTCTGTGTTATAGATATTGTCTGGGGGTCATTACTCACATACGTACATAGATCGGGTCCACCAAGACAGCCTGTTCATAATCAAGCATCATATTTCTCTTTCTTTTATCTTTGGTATCCACACAGACCTTGGGCGGTAACCTGTTGACCGACCGAAGAAGTCGAGAGTAAGTTGAGTATCCTAAGGATGTGTGGTTTGCTTGTTTGAGATATCTGCTTCCGAAGTGTCGTCTCGCATGCAAGATGTAAAGGGGGAGTCTTTAATACCTTCAATGGGAGGAGTACACCACCACCACTAAGCGCAGAAATGAGAGAAGTGAGAGAAGTTATTACATAAAGCATTATACGTGCTACTTGGCAGGACTAGTCTACAAGATACTAGGAATATTCTTATTATTGGAGCAATAATAGATAACAGTCTTAATGCTTTATTTTAATCAATGTACAGATTCAGCCCTCAAAACCAAGCTCCGCTAATCAGGCTAATACTTCGAGTTGACCTGTGGACCTTTTGATCGCCCTAGTAAGTGCTTTGCTTCGGAGTTGCCTGTATTCCAAAAAGTTAGTCCCAAGACCCTAAGACACCTTGGACACCCACTTCATATGAAGAGCCTCATACTTTAGGGATCAACGTCATTAGTACTGGGGTGTCACAGCTACACTATTACAGCCCCAATAAGCCCCGTAGCTCACCCAGTTCCTTGCTCACACCTCCAGCGCTAGCCAATGTTTTCCGGCTCGCCTCCTGAGCAATAGGAATGATATCCTCAATGCGCACGGAAGTGTCCTTGGCCAAGCCAGCCACCACAACACCTAGCAGCGTATCACCCGCAGCATTGACACTGACAATGTCGTTTGCATCTAGAATAGTAGCAGGCGAGAACAAACGCATGTAAACACCACCGAAAGGCACGTCCGAGTCAAGCGGCGCGCGAGCAAGAATGTATGGCGCAGACTCCGGATCCGTGAGATGGGGATCACCAGGGGGTAGAAGCTGAGTAAGAAGAGCACCCGCACCACCGAGCTTGGTAACAATGCAAGGAATGAAAGGAAGCAGCTGAACAGTCTGCTGCGGAAGGCCCTCGTCGACGAGAGACAGCGAAGTGATTGCAATGAGGCGCTCGCGCGAGCCCGTCGGGGACATATTCATAGAGTTGATGATATGCCACCATCCCGCCGACTCGAAAAGAAGCGATTCCCGCGCAGCGGTGTACATGGCCGCCAGCTCGAGGCGGTTCGGACACGCAAGACTGATAGCGTTGTTTGGCACAGTCTGATTGGGACCGATAGTCGAGCCGGTGCTGTTTGCACCGCTGCCGAACAGGCGTCGGGACTTGGCTGTTGAAACGGGCTCAAAGGCTACGCGTGCGCCGTGTTTGCGTGCTACAACACTCCACTTGGCGATTACCTCGGGCCGCCAGTTGGCGTCGACAACGACCCAGTTGGGCTTCGTGCGTTCGAGGAGAGGCTCCCAGAAGCCGTCGAAGTCGAGCTGGGATTCGGGTAGTTCGACGATGCCCATGTCGGCCATGGCTACTACGAGGTCTTTTTTGGTGTCGTTGATTGCGATGTATTGTGCTGTGCGGATGCCTGGCGTCGCTGGGAGGACTTGAATGCCTGCGATGCTGAGGCCTTCTTTCTCAAGGGTTGATAGTGCGGCGCGGCCACTGAGGTCATCTGCAACGACACTGCAGAAGATGACGTCGCTGCCAATATAGCTGGCGGCAACGGCAACGTTGTGGCCAACGCCGCCTAGGCTTTGTCCGATAATTGCTGGGTTGGATGTATGCGGTACTGGTGCAACCTGTGTGAGTTCGTCTCCGAATGGAGTGTAGTCACAGGAGAGGTCGATGGCTAGCGAGCCGGCAACCACGACATCTGCCTTCAGCGTCGGTGTAATAGGTTCCTCTGTGCTGACTGGTTCGGGGATATCTTCAACTTGCGAGACAACTTGACTTGGTAAAGCTACACCTGGGATTGATGGCATGTGTCTATACGGAAGGAGATCTCGGAACTTAGCATTGATTGCATCTCGTATCTGGTATCTAGAAACAAAACTCACCGAGACCCTGTTTCTAGGTCAGCTTGTTCAAGCTTGGCAAGTTCCACAGCTACAAGGGTTGCACGCTTGACATTGGACTCAATCAAGGCCCGATTAGCAACTACGCTCTTTCCACCGCTTAGTTCCTTGATCTTAGAAAGCACAAATGGCGTGTTGTCACTGCCATGATAACCCTCTACATGGGAAAGGCGGATAGCTTCTTCAATCACAAGATCCATCTCGGCTTTGGGGATTGAGTGCTCCAGCGGGACTGGGTTGGCAAAGTGGATTCCGGAGGATACTGGAAGCTTGGATTGCGCATCTGGGGATTCTGTCAACGAGACTGTAGCTGTCAACGTATGGGGTATACTTACAAACTATGGCAGCAGCTTCAGCTTCATTTCGAATAACCCGGGGACTGCGGATGCCGCTCTCTCGTGTAAAGAAAGCAGGGAAGTCAACGGGGCCATCTCGGCCATCAGCGAATGTACCTACGCAGACACCTTCGGTCTCGAGGTATTCGAGCGTTCGAGGAATGTCTAAGAAGCTCTTGCATCCAGAGCTAATTACCGTCACTGGAGTACGTCCAAGTTCAGTGAGGTCGGCTAGAATGATTTGTCAATCAATTGGGTACGTTGTTTTCGTTTCCACATTTTTCCTACCAGAGATATCCATTGAGTTTTCTCCCCCACGATGTACACCACCTAGAGCAAGTTAGATACATGGGTTTCAGTTTCGATTGAACTTTGATCATTGGATTTACCTAGTCCACCGGTACCAAAGATCTTGATACCAGCCAGTTCTGACAAGATCATAGTGCCTGAGATTGTAGTACCGCCGTGCATCGGCTTACCGACCATACCCTAATATAGATCAGTTTCGGTCCTCTTAAGGTATTGTAGCAGCTAACTCACCATGCCACATATATATCCGAGATCCCTACGAGACACTTTCAGAGCGCTCTTATCCTGGGCTGTCGAGGCCAGCTCGATAAGCTCTTCCGTACTCAGACCAACTTTGGCCACACCACCAAGGATTCCTATAGTTGCAGGAACTCCGCCATTGGCTCTCACAACAGACTCCAACAATGCAGCGAGAGCAATGTTATCGGGATAAGGGAAACCTACAGCCGATCAGAGTCTTGGCTTCCCCGCTTTTGAGCGAAGCTCTTCAATCCCAGGAATGAACACAGAGAGACTCACCGTGTGTATAGATTGTAGTCTCGAGTGAGACTACTGGCTTCCCTGTAGCAACTGCATCACGCACCTCCTCTGATACCTTAAAGAACTTGCTCTGGGCAAGGCCATGGTAACGACGAGCAGATAAGAGCGGAGCTCCCCTCAAACAGCCGGACCTCAGAGCAGCTCGAGAGGCGAACATCGTGTGTGACAGCATGATTATATTTGAGAACAAGATTCAGCTGCCTCCCGCAAATTTATCATGCAAAACAAATATGCAAGAAGGAAAGACGCGAGATGAGGAGAAGCTCCGGAGATCACCCAGACTGTTATCAGTGATAAGCCGGAGTGCGCGATATGGCCGCTTCGGCGACCCTAGTATACAATGGGGACCACGTATCATCAGCTTCGCAAGCTTCCCAAGGTTCACCGACCTGACACAATCACATCTTGGATTCTTGAACCTTTTGAACCTCGGAGAAATTGTGTCCTCCAGGTATTCAGAATGAGGTTTTTCACCGCCACGGTGCTCGGGCTGCTCGCGCCCAGCCTGTGCGCTGCAACTAACCTTACTACGCCTAGTCGATTGGATCTTCCATTCGGCTTCAAACCTCCGCAAGTTTTCAAAAACACAAATTTGGTTCGGAATACCAATTTGGAAAAGAGCTATGTGCGGGAAACAATCAATGTTGTTGTGGAGAATATCGACAAGCAGCCCCAGAACGACTACTACATCCCCTTCCCTGCCGAGGTGTTCGACCGTGTTGCAGGCTTCGAAGCGAGGGATAAGAAGGCCCCCGAGAAGGGACGCTTTGACGTGGACTATACTGAAGCTGTATCATCTGAGTGAGTATCAATTGGGAAGCCAATGCCCATGCCAGGCGTCTAGCCTTGTAGTAGGCGAGGCACAAACACCGTGACACTGATTCTAACATCAATGGAAACAGCGGTAACCAATACTTCGTCGTTCACCTTCCCCAGCCTCTAGCCCCGAAGGCACAGATCACCCTTGGAATCTCGTACTCGGTGCTTTCCTCTCTCAGCCCGCTTCCTGCGACCATTGGACAGGCGGACAAGCAATATCTCACCTACTCTTTCTCCGCTTATATGCCATCCGCCTACACGACGAATACACAGAAGACCAAGTTGAAGTTCCCCAGCACCAATGTGCCGGATTACACAACCACTGAGGGTCTCAAGTCCGGCTCAGACCCTGAGCGCAAGGGCGCCACATACACCTACGGCCCGTATGACACGGCCAAGGTGGCACCGGGCACCCAGCACCCAATTACCGTCCGTTACGAGTTCACTAAGCCCGTCATCACGATAAACCTTTTGGAGCGTGACTTAGATGTCTCCCACTGGGGCGGTAACCTTGCAACCGAGGAACGGTACTGGCTGCGCAACAACGGCTCCGAGCTGACCAAGCAGTTCTCGCGTGTCGAATGGACCTTCGCCAACTACCAGCAAGCGCCTACCTCAGCGGTTCGTGAGCTGACATATCCGCTTCTTCCCGGCTCTGTCGACCCTTACTTCATTGATGATATCGGCAATGTCTCGACTAGCCGCTACCGTCCCAGCATTGGTAAGAGTGCGGGTAGCTTGGAGCTGAAGCCCCGCTACCCAATCTTCGGAGGCTGGAACTACAGCTTCCGTATTGGATGGAACAATGACCTTGCTTCCTTCCTGCGCCATGCCGCGGGTGTCGACTCCGATTCCTATGTCCTCAAGGCCCCGCTCATTGAGGGACCTAAGATGGCCGAGGGCATCCAGTATGAGCGTGTGATTGTGCGTGTTGTTCTCCCCGAAGGTGCTCACAATGTCCGCTTCGAGATCCTCGAGGGAACCAACAGCAATGGTCTTCCTGGTGTGAACCACATTCACGCTCACTTGAGCTCTCTCAAGACTTACATGGATACTTTGGGCCGGACCACCTTAACCCTGGAGGTTGACAGTCTGACAGACGAGGCGCGTGACTCTAAGTTTGTGGTATGTATTGCTCTATATTGTCATTTGTTCATCTCTCAGTTATGCTAACTCGCCATTAGGTTACGTACGATCACTCCATGTTCGATGCCTTACGCAAGCCTTTTACTATCTTCGCGGGTATGCTTACAGTCTTTGTCGCTGCCTGGGGCATTGGAAAGATCGATGTCAGCATCAAGAAGCGGTGAACTGCGTGAAACGGGTTCATGTCAATATCATTTTGTTACTTTTCTATAGTCGTTTCCAAGGGATCTCACCAATCGACTTGTATGTTTACAATCTTTTCTCAGCTTCGCAGCTTCCCAACTTCATTCCTTGAGGGCCGTAATCTTCAAGCTTGGGTTGCTCCTTCCTCTGGACTTCCCTTCCTTGGGGTATATACCATCAGACAATCGTAAACAAACACGTATCAAGGTATTCTGTTCGTTCCACTCTTCTCTTTCATCATCCCCCTCTCGCCTTTTATCACCATGCTTCAAATCAAGCAGTCGCCGGACAGACCTCGTCCACCCCCGTCGAGGACAACACCCAAGATTCCCCATCCAAACTAAACCTGTCTGCTCCACGTAACCCCCTCGGCCCAGTGGTGGTCTTCATCGCCCGAGCAACAAACACGGATGACCACGACTACAAGCGCTCGACTTGGAACAACACCGAAATGCACGCATACCTACGTGGACTTCTGGTAATCGCCATCGCCGAGCACCGCAAGCGATTCGGTCTTCTAGGCATCCGTCCCCACAAGATGCAGACAATCATCCAGCCCGCCCACACCCGAATCTCATCTGTTAGCCGAGTCGGCAAGTTCCTGGGAATGGCACTGGAGGAAGCTCGCGCATCCAAGACCGAGTGCATCTTCGTTCTGAACGGCTGGGATGGCTGGACAACTGACAAGATGACCATCGTCGAGCTCTGTGACCAGTTCCGTGACATCCCTTTGATTTTCCATGTATATGCGAACCGAGGCACGCCTTGCGAGTTCTTCGAGGTCAACGCTCACAAGGTCAATGCGTACCTCAAACACATGGTTAGTGCGGAGGATCCTTCTATTGTTGGTGATCGTGCGACGGCACTCTACATTCGTATCCTTGAGACTTTGCCTACCTTGCACCATGCCAGGCATTACCCTCTTATTTCGCAGCAGGAAAAGGATGCTCTTACCAAGTACGATAAACGATTTGCCGGGATTTACGAGTTGGACGAACCCCAGATTCCAGAGCTTGAAAATGCAGAGCCCGAGGCTCCAAAGCCTGGCGTTTGATATGGTATCGGTAAGTGCAAAGAATATTGGCGGACTTGCGTCTTTACCAATGGATCTTAACTTTATATTTCTTGTAGAGCTTGATATTTTCCACAACCTATCTAGAATGGATAACATCGATCCATGGAATCAAGGCTGGAGAGGCTCTAGTCCGTTAAGTCGGAGGCTATCATACCAACTGAGCAAGCAGCTGAATCAATACCAAATCTTTATCAAACTGTTCATGGCACACCATACTGGGATAGATCGGGGATATCTTCCATTGAATGACCGCGTACGGTTCGTCAAATTAAACTGAGGTAGTAATTGTACAAAAGAGCAAGATATTGTGGTCATGACGCAGAACAAAAAAAAAGCAAACTACCTAATGCCATCCATTGACCGTACCCGTCCCGGCAAGAAGTTCATCAAGCTCATCTTTTCTCTTCTTGTACAAATCCTGAGCCTCTCGCTCACGCCGCAGAACCAATGATACTGCATCACGGAGTCTCTCAAGTCGCCGGGGCACAGCTGACTCCTCGGAGATCTGGAGCGTACGGAAAGCGTCCAGCTCATTTGTAGCGGTGGACAAAGCAGCACTAGCCTCCACGATCTTCGACCGCAGCGTCTTGGCACGGTTCTGGTATCCGCCGTAGTGCAAAGACAGCTTCTTCTCGAGCTTATTTCCGCGCTCAGCAGTAGCAAAGAGGGATGTTTGAACTGTGTCGAAGGCCGCAATCATGCGTTGTTCTTCCTGGAAGGGGTCCTGCTCGTCATCCTCGTAATTCTCAAGACCGGGCAGAGACTTGGCGCGAACTGACGACCAACTGTCATCAAATTTCTCTTGCCATTCCGACTTCTGTGCTTCAGCGAAAGCAATCTCAGCGGCAATAGAAGCTCGTGCTGCGTCCAAGAACCGGTCGTCCAATTGACTTAACTTTGGTGCTTGGCCCTGGACCTTCGCGCCGGGGAGGGGGAATTTGCGAGAGTCGTGCGCAATCAGGATGGCGGCTTCGTTGGCAATTAAGCCTTCAATGGCGTCGGTGGCCTGAGAAGCACGTTGCAACAAGGCGTTTAGATCCAGAACGGCGGGACGAGGCAGGCCTCGCTGATAAACTTGTGATTGACGCTTGAATTCAGCCTTGGCAGCCTTCTCCCGTGCCTCATTGTTACGGCGATCACGCTCGGCCGCATCCTCTTCGCTAATCTCCTCAGAGGCGGTGGGCTCAGCAGACTCAGATGGAATATCTTCCAAATCCCACTCGGATTCCTTGGGTTTGGGAAGCGAGGCCAGCTTGCTGCGCATCTGTTGGCGAGTGAAGTTCTCGTGCATTTTAATGTCCCGGGGTGTGCTGCCAATGAGCTGACCACCCTCTCCCTCCCGGTTCAGAGCTAAATGGTCTCGCGGGGTGCGCAACGGTGTAGCACCGGCCCCAACGCCGCCAGGCATAGGTGTTGCACCCATGCCATTCGCCTGGCGGAATGGCGTGGCCATGGGGTTGGGAGTAACGATTGCTTGCCTCCGAGGAGCAATCCCATCAAATCCAGTTGATGAGCCGCCCTCGTGAAGAGGTGTGTTATCCCCTCCCAGAAGGGAAGACTGAGTTTCGGTCAAAGCTCGAATATTCTTGATTTCGTTGGCGATGTGGTCGTCCTCCGGGGCAGCTCGCGGAGTTCTGATAGGAGTTCCTCCAACAATGGTCGAGTAATTTCCAAGGAGTTCCCGAGTACCTGCTTCATCGCCGCTCATTCGACTAGCTTTATCACCAGCCATTCCCATCTTGATAATTTCTTCCATTTCACTTTCGTTGACCTGCGGTGCTGGCAAGTTCAAACCCCGTCGTTTGTTGCTTTGTTCAGCCTCGCGAATCTTCTGCATTTGACCTGCTCGTGCAGCTGCAGCAGAAGCGGCCGACGCGCTGCCTTTATCGTTCTTGCGCTTCTTGCGTTCTGCATCGTCGTCTTGGTCGCCCTTTCTCTTATTTGCGAGTTGCTGCTTCCGAGGATCGAATGCTTCCCGTTGGCGTTCATTCAGATCCTTCTCTTCAATTGTATCATAGAAACCAGGAGCAGCTGGCTTTTCGAATGGAATGTCCGCATTGTAATCCATCTGACCAGGCTTCCGCGTGACAACCTTGACGTTGATACCGGCATGCTTGAGTTCGCGACGCTTCTGGAGAACAGCTAGTCGACGTGACTCTTCTAATTGACGCTCTCGGGCCTTTCGCTTGGCTTTTTTACCCTGTGTGTTGGCGAGACGAGCACGCGCTTCGCTCAGCATTTCTTTCTCATCTTCATCTAGATCGATAGTGTCGGGACGGGCGGGCTTAGACTCTGGGTCGGGATCGAGTTCACCGGGTCTAAAAGAATTAGCAACATGAACTTCATGACCTTTAGTAAAATTAAAATCCACGTACCGTAGGCGGCGGACATCGTCCGCACTGGGGGCGGCGCTCTCCTCGCCGGGTCCTCCCAGACCGAGCTCGTCGTTTTCGCGAGATTCAGCTTCATCCAAAAGCTTCTGGTAGCGTTCAAGACATTGTGTGGCTGTTCGCCCGACGATGGGGGCAATTGTGCGCCATTGCGTGGGCATCAACTTCGCAAGGTGGAGTAGTTTCTCGTCCTCTTCCCGCGACCATTCGGTTTTGCGAATACCCGGGTCCAGCCATTCAATCCAGCGCGCCTTGCATTGCTTTGGGGTTTTCCGTGCGAGCAAGGAGGAGACTCGAGCCCACTGGTTGAGACCATATTTGGATACCTGCGATCGGTCAGTTTTTGCTTCACCAAACATTGGCCAGAGAAGTTCCGAGTGAGACAAGAGTAACATACAGCTGCCCGAAGCACTTCATCCTCAATGTTGGTCCTAGGAGTATGTTAGCGACGAAAGCTCGTGGGCTGGTTCCAATGCCACTTACCAGACACCTCCTTTGACGACAGGCATGGCGTGCGATCGCGCTAAGCGCAGTGTCAAACCTTTAAAAATCGATAGTAGAAGACCAAGAGTGCCACCAGAAAGATGGAAAGTAACAATCCACTGGCGTATAGGGAGTTCACGCGCCGTAAGTGATGACAGCTTGAAGCGGAAGAAAAGCGAGTTCGTAAGCAAGCGCGTTAAACGTGGTAGCCGCGATCACCGCCCCCGCGCGTGCTGAGATAAGCAGATCCTGAAATTTTTTGGCCCGGAAAAAAAGATAAGCCAATATTTTCATACTATCAACGCTGACTGTCCGTCTCTGTTGTTTTCCACAATGTCGACTTCCGTGGATGCCCCGAAGCAATTCAAGCAACCTTCCCGTAAGGGCAAGAAAGCGTGGCGCAAGAATGTCGATATCACCGCGGTGCAGGAGGGTTTGCGCGATTTGAAGGACGCCGAGATCACAGGGTAGGCTATCTTTGCTCTCTTTTTTTTTTGGCTCTCTACTGGTGATTAGGATTCTAACTATTCTCTCCCTGTTAGTGGTCTTATCTCCGAAAAGCCTTCCGATCAGCTTTTCGTTCTCGATACTGTTGGTAATGAAGAAGTACGCAAGTCTATCGCCAAAAAGCAAAAGAAGCCCCTCAAGTCAGACGAGATCCTTGCCCAGCGGTCAATGATCCCCGCCCTAGATGGCCGGAAGCGTGTAAACCCGAACGTCACCGACGGAGTCATTGAGCCGAAGACGAAGAAGCCCAAGAGCGACTGGGTCAGCAAGAAGGAATATCTCCGTCTAAAGCAAGTTGCGAGGGAGGGAAACCCTATGGGCAAGAAGAGCGACAATGAGTTCTACGATCCATGGGCTGAAGATACCGAACCCACGCTCACGTACGACGACCCTCGCTTTGATTTCCTACAGAAACCCAAGCCCAAGGTTGAGCCGACCACATTAAAACACGCCCCGATCTCGCTTGCTGCCAACGGCAAACCCGTCCCCTCCGTTAAGGTGCCTCACGCCGGAACCAGTTACAATCCTGTGTTCGAAGAGTGGGACAAACTATTGGAGACGCACGGTGCCAAGGCGGTTGAGGCCGAGAAGTTGCGGTTGCAGGAAGAGGCCAAGGAAGCCGAGAAGCAGCGTTTGATCGAGGAGGCCAAGAATGACGACGGCGAGGTGAAGTCGGATGACGAGAGTGCCTGGGAGGGCTTCGAAAGCGAGTACGAGAAGCCTGAGTGGCTGAACAAGAAGCGCCCCGAGCGTAAATCCAAGACGCAGCGCAACAAGGTTATCCGACGCAAGGAAGCAGAGGGAAAAGCGAAGTGGGAGGCTCAAAGGGTAAAGAGAGATGCCCAGGCCGAGCATATTCTCAAAATCGCCGAGCAAATCAAACAACGGGAGCTCGAGCGCGAGAACCAGTCGGATGCGGATGAGTCTGAAGATGATGTTGAGGTCGCCCTCCGCAAGAAGACCTTCGGTGGCAAGAGACCGTACGTGTTTGTTCATCTTCCTATACCATGTTGCGACTAACAAGTTATTTTAGTGTACCCGCGCAGCCGTTGGAGCTGGTTCTTCCTGACGAGCTGCAGGATTCCCTACGACTCCTGAAGCCGGAAGGCAATCTCTTGGATGATCGATTCCGAACATTGATCGTTCAGGGTAAGCTCGAGTCCCGCACACCAATTACCCAGGCACGCAAGGCCAGAAGACAGATTACGGAGAAGTGGTCTGCGAAGGATTTCAAGACTGGATACGAGTGATTCTGCATATTCCCTCTAAAAGCGCGTGCATTTTGTTATCTGGACATATAATGTGGTCCTTCAATGAGTTAGGATCAGGTTTCATCTCAATATTTTTAAGCACAAAGTAAACCAAACACTTCAATTAAATCAGACTAAGCACCAAGCACTCAATTATACAGTAAATTGTCCATGTAACGACAATATCGAGGGCTCAGACTCGCTACCTGGTCAACTATCACCCCCAAAATAAAAGTGGGTCCCGAAAATTTACTTGCTTATCGTCTTTTTTTATCTTTCCCATCTTCTCTCTCACCAACAGACACAGAATGGACAAGACAGCGCTTTCCAGTAATTGGAAGAAGCTGCA